TACTTATTTTTTTAACACAAGCTGACGTCAAATGCAGCGCAATACTTCCATACTTTTCGCTCGCCACTGCAAAAGCATTCATATGTACATACCTAACTACATATATGTACATATATGCAAGTTTAGATATCCTACAAGCAGATATCGCCTTTTGTCGAAAATTATTCTCGACCGCCTTATCATCTGCATTGCTAAGTGCCCAGACTTCACAGCAAGTCACTGATGTTACCCTTATGATAGCCCGTTGTTTTCTTCTTATTTTTCCTTTTTTAAAAAGAGCTATCTATTTGTTCATAAAATAGTACACGAATGCACACACAAACGCATTCATATGGGTTATGCACTCGCGCCTGTTATCTGATTTTCTTTATTTGTTTGTCGCTTGTTAAAATGTAAACTATTCAATTAAATGTTGTTTTTTTTTTGTTGCTTATGTGCCCAGGCATTTAACTGCAAGATATTGCAAATACTTTTCTGTGGCCAAAGTTCATCATTTCTACTGAAGGGATACCATCTTTGTGCGCTTGGCGCAATGCTTGGACGATGGGAAATTAAGTGCATGATATGTGCAGCTCTTTTGCTGAATTATTTTTTTTTACTCAATTACATTTAATCGAATGTTCTATAAATATAAATAATATAATAATAAAACATTAACATATCACAAAATATAAATGTATCTGAAAATAAGAACTAGCCAGTCTTTGCCTATTCAAAGGCATTTATTCTCAGAGGAAATTTCGTCACAAATGATATGGAGACGATAAACTTGCTTTTAACTGCGGAACTCATTCTAATATAGCTATTTTTTATGTGTTCAATGCTGAGTTTCGCTAGATTGTGTCCTCATAAGTTCAAGTGCTTTGGCGCTGTCGTTTACAACAAGATCCAGGAGAGCGTCGAGGGAAGCTAGTAAGTCAAGTGTTTGGGTTTAGCAGAATATGCGACACTGTAACTTGAAACATTTACTGTATCTCTAAAAAATCCCTCACTCAGTATGCCCAAGATACCATCGGTTTTCGTATTGAAACCTTAAAGAATCGTGGTAAGCGAATTCTTTATTAAATCAAGCTTTCGACCATTGGAGCTTTAAAATGGATTAATATTTGTCTGGCCAAAGCCGAATGTTTTTTGAAGTCTTGGTGGTTACTAGTTGAGTACCCAGACAGTAGTCTGATGTCGGTTCTATTAAATAGAATAATAGCTTTTTTTTGAAAAGGTCCACCCAGAAATTATGTCTTTCGAAGATGATTAACTGAGACCACAAAATGGTTACTGTCCTAAAAAGGCAGCTGGAGATCGTTAGCGACTGTATTAGCGTAATTTTTGCAGCCAAAATATTTAAAGCTGCCATATCAGTCTATACCAAGTATGTATGCATTTCATCATTCTGTAAGAGAGGGCCTAGGTGACTGCTTGGCAATCTGAAAAATAACAAAAAAGACATATCTTAAACCTTTTTCGAGCTGTAATTTGGCACAAGACTAGATTCCTAATACTTCAACCTGGAACATCTGCTCATGTGTATTGAAATTTTTGTACCAGGTTCACAAGTACCTGCACCTGCTTTGTCGTCTATCCTTGAACCGTGTGTGTACCTATCCGAAGTCAATAGCAGGGAGCCCGTTGCGACAATCTTCGCGGTCACGAATTTTCATTTGGAACTTTCTGCCGAAACAGAAGCCTTTACATATGGTACTAAGTATAAATTCCACATATGGTAGCTGCTTTGTACAAATATGTATGTTAATGTTATAACCGCAACCATAATAATCAAAGGTTTTATTTTTATACCAAATTCAATAAAATCTTCAACCAAATTTTAAGAGTTCTAATCTGGATTTTTAGAAAATTAAAAAAGTTATTAAAAATCAACGTGAACTCATAGCGGAAGCAACCATACACTTTATCATACTAAAATTGTGTGTGCTATAAAATTCCCTTCCCAAAAATTTACAGGTCAAATAGACTTTGCAGGGTATACGGCCATATATACAGATGGTTCCAAGCTTAACAAAAGAGTGGGTAGCGGGATCTACTCTAACGAACTCGCGCTAAACCTCAGTTTTCGCTTACCGGACCATTTAGCGTTTTTCAAGCAAAATTAAACGCCATAATGGGGGCGGCTCCGCGCCTCCAGGACGGCCCATTTCTATCTATTCTGACAACCAGGCTGCTAGCAAATCCCTCAATTCTAACGAAACAGCGTCCAAAGTAGCCATAGAATGTAGGAAGGCTCTCAACCTGCTGGCATCAAAATGCCCCTTGGCTCTTGTATGGGTCCCTGGACATCGGGAAATCCATCTCAACTGCCTAGCCGACGAGCTGACAAGGAGGGGCGGAAATATCTGAAGTAAATTCTGCTCGGAATGCGGGCATACCTCTTACCTCCTGCAAACACAGATTGAAGGCGATACTCGTTGAGGAAGTAAATATGTATAAGGTGGACTGTGGAAACCACCTGCCGTACTACCAGGCAAATTAGGCCAAAGATTGATGTAAAGCGATCCATAGCTCTTACCCGGCTGGACCGCTCCTCTCTCAGATTAGTATTAGGAGTAAGCACCGGACATTGTCTGATGGGCACACATGGAAAAAGGTTAGAATTTCTGTCGCAGTTGCAGAAACGAGGAATAGGTGGAGACCATCGAACACTATCTCTGCCATTGTCCCGCCCTGGCCAACACACGCAAACAAATTCTTCAACAAGTACTTTCCAGATTGTTTAGCCGAATTTAACTCGACGAACGTTCTCGACTTTTTGTGCTATATAAAACGCACTCGGTGGTTCAATTAGTAAGGGAGGGAAAGAAACAAATGGCTTCGGCCAGTGGTATCACAACGGGCTTTTCCAGCACACGTGTGCTCCGCTCTCTGCGCGGAGCAGCCACTCTAACCTAGACTTTTCAGGCAACTGCATGACCGGATACAAATGGGTTTCAGGTCGACGCAGACAATAACTGATACCCCAATACTTATATGAACTTGTATAACCCTATCGACTGGAAGTGGTCCGACAGATGGCCAAAGAGCTTTCTAGAACTAAGTAATAAGGCATTAACTCTTTAGACTGAAAGGCGTCTGGTTAGTTAGCAGTGTAAATCGAGCCCATCGGTTTATATTTAAAATTATTTCAAAGCTTTATCGTCGGCTGTATGGGAAATGGCGAAAGAGAATAATATATACCAGCAACGCCCAGCGCTGTCACTACTCTATAAGCAAGTGCAAAACTTTGCATGCCTAATATATATAACATTATTTTTTTAGATAGCTTCCCAGTAGCGTTAGGTAACTCAGCACTTAGCGGAGCTACCGAGCTGTTTCCCGGCAGGGTCCTACACGTTCAGACTAACCCAATGTGCGCCCATACTGACTCCCTCGTTTTAAAGTACGAAAATTTACGCGTATACTGCGAAGAACAGTTAAAACCACAGTTAACCATATGTTTACTCCTCGTAATACCTCGCAAATGCAATACCTATGTATGTATGTATGCCCCATTTCATACACTCAATGATGGTGTGCACAAACAAGTCGCGTGCACGTGATCTACTTAAGATCAAATCACTTCATATACAGCATTCCATCCAATTGGAAACAGTATCAGGCACACATTGACCATTTGGGCACCACTGTAATTAATCATATTTTATATTTGTTTTGATGGTTATTCCAAATTAACTAAGTGTTAATTTGTTTCGCTCTTTGCGCTGATTGAATTCATTGAACGTTTATAAATGCAAATCGCATACAAATATATAATATTTTTTGTTTGTTTTCATATTACAGTGGTGTACATTGTACATACACTGCCCAGCACGCAGGAGTAATTTGTATACATATGCTTTTGTGCGCTTAAATGGCAATTGAATTTATTATGTATGTTTTTTTTTTTAATGTGGAATGAATCAAAACGCGTGATACCCACGTGTCTGATAAATTTAATTTATGTAGTTTTCTTGGACAAGTGTTATATTTTTATACATCAATATGTTGGGATGTTTTTAGCATTCGTCCTATTAATTGAACATTGCCTGCTAAATGCAATAAAATGCATTGATGCTAAATAAGTTGTCGATATTGGAGTCTACGAAATTTTGAATTCTATATTTATTTAAAAAATTTCTTGTAAGTTTCACTTGTTTCAACCAACATTAAGTAAGTAAGTTGACCATATGGCGATATCTCGCCTCGGACCAAAACTTCGCTCGGACTCCTTTTAAAAAGCTCAAAGCTTCACCGCTGAAGCCAAAATATAGATCCTTCCGAATGAAAATGAAATACTTAACGGTAGTACCGGGGGGAAATCCGATAAAGGACAGTAAGGTTTAGTTCCCCACTGACGCGGTATGCAAGATTTCGAAACTTCCTCTTCGTGAAAAAAGATTCCGTGGAGTAGCCTAGCCGGAAGCCCTCACACAGACCCCGGAATCTTCTTCTTATTTATTATTTGACCCTGTACCCGCCTTAGCAATTTTGGCAGAGGTATCCATCTGAAACCAAGCGGATAAGACGGCTCTCCTCCTTTGGTGTGGCCCAAGCATGAATTCAGACTAGTAAAAGAAACTAAAATCTCGCAGTCAACACGTTGAAATAACTTGCACCTTAACAAAAATTTTAGTCACGGAGAAAGGTTTTAACGGCGACTGTAAATCGTATAGGCAGTATGCTTACAATCAAAGTTGGAAGATCCAATAATGACGTGATAAAAGACCAAAACGTAAAAAGCCCGGGCTCGATACTTAGCAAAAATGCCTAAGGAACGAAGGCTTGGTTTAATAAATGTAACCAAGGAGGAAAAAATGGTTATAGGAACCAATAGTAGTAGGACCAAGATTTAGTAGCGAAACTTTCAGATCGAAACACTTATCAAGTTATAAAGCGGGGAAATAATTACAACAAGCCATTTTAAAACTTTTACAGATCTTTAATTTTATGAATTTATTTGCCTTTTAAACCATGTGCTTTAATCTTAACGTTCCTTCTTCCAACAATTACAGAGTGTTCTTCAGCAAACGGCCAATCCACTACCCATAGCTATCGCCGATCTACCACCATCACCCACAGCTCCCGCCCCATCACCCAATAGCTTTCTACTCGCCAGTCCGAATCAAATTTGTACAGTATGCAAGAAAAAATTCGAAACAGACAGCAATTCGACGCCACGCATTCGACAACTCACACCGGAGAATAGCACCTCGGTCGAATCGAATATCAGCGAGTCAACGGCAACAACTGACACCGGCAACACTGCTGTAACCTGTGCACTGACCAGCTCAAATGCTGTCAATAATCAACCGGTGGAGATCGCCTTGGATGCGGCAGCAGCACAAACGGCAGCCGAGGCGGCGGCCACCGCGTCAACATGCAACGGCGTTAAGTCGAAATTGACGCCCATGTCAGCGCAGCTACACGCGCCAGTGCTCAAGAAACAGGGTGTTTCCGGCGAAAGTTGTGAAACTTCCATGCAGCAGTCGATCAATGTGCCCACACCGAAATATGAAAAGGATTTCAGGTGCGTTAAAGCTTTCTTCCAGCAAAATACATATTTCTTACATCAAATCTTATATGCATTTTCATTCTCTAACACAGTTCCAAACAACTCATCAAAGACGCTATAATGGACAATGATTTTCTCAAGAATATCGACGCTTCGCAAGTACGCGAACTTGTTGAATCCATGTATCCGCTGGCGATCGCCAAGGGAGAGTTTGTGGTGCGCGAAGGTGAGGTGGGCGCTCATCTTTACGTTTCGGCGGAGGGTGAATTTGAGGTGGTCAAAGGTGGCATTGTGCTGAGCGTCATGGGACCGGGCAAGGCTTTCGGTGAGCTTGCCATACTCTACAATTGCACGCGTACCGCTTCGATACGCGTCTTATCAGATGCGCGTGTATGGGTGCTAGATCGTCGAGTCTTCCAACAGATCATGATGCGTACGGGCATGCAAAGGATCGAGAATAGCGTGAACTTTTTGAGATCGGTGCCGCTGCTAAAGAATCTCAGCATGGAGGTGTTGGCGAAAATAGCCGATGTGCTGGAAGTGGTGAGTGTGGTCAAATTTATTTGTATAAAATTAAATTTTTAAATACTTTATTCAAGTATTAAGATAAGGAAGCAAGAATCCTAGATTATTTTAAAATATATGTAGGTTTAGGCCTTAGTGAAAAATTTTTTGGAAATACATTTTCAGAAAAACGAGTATTATTTCGAGGTTTTTATTTTGCATCGGGCATTTTTTTGAAATCAGAGCTATAGATTCAGGTTATGTACCTCTAAAAAAAATTTTATAATGTGTCTAAATAATACAAAATAAAGTTTTAATTTTCGAAATTACTTACGTTTGGATTTGTTTATAGATTTCTAAAAACTTTTTATAAACTTTTTAAGGCGCATAAATCACAAGCAAAATTAAAGATTCAATGCAGTTAACAGTTCTCCAATAAATTTTCGAAATTTCTTGTTCGCCTAATTTATGAAATTTTCTAGTAAAAGCAAGTGTTTCCGAATTGAATAGCAGACTTTGGTGACAAATTTGGAGAAAAAATAATATTACAAAAAAAAATTAACTACAAAGAGTCATAACTTTTAAATACTGGTGTATGTTTTTGAAAATACTTCTTTACTGAAAAAGTTTTAAAAACTCAGGAATTTAATTGAGAAAATAAATTTGATCGAAAAATGAAGTTTCAGCTTATAAACCATTACTGAATGAATTTAAGGCATTTGTAATCGGATTTTGTAAAATTAAGTTTAAGAAAATATTTTTTTTTACCCATTAAAGTTTTAGTTTCGAATATATTTTAGAAATCCTTTATATTGTATTAAGCACTTAGCGGCAAAGTTTTAAAAATTATATTTTTATAGTTACATATTCATTACTGTCATTGCTTCCGAATATATGTATTTGCGAAAATAACTGGTTATAAACTTTAGAAATATGTGTCAGAACTTCGTTATATATGTATAGATTTTTTAATTTTTCCAAGAATTTTTTAACTTTAAGAAATCAGAACTTTAATTGTTTTCCCATTTTATGTGCAAGATTTGTTTAATTTTTAAAGCATTATATAAAAAATTTACTTTTGAAAAAAATTCCACATTTTTCCAAAGAAACTTCAGTTTATAATTGAATTAATATTTGTGAAATTTGTTAATTGCCTTATATTTAGATTGTTATTTTTTCCAAAATTTTTTTAATTTAAAAAAATCCGAAATTTAATAGTTTTGAAATTTTCAGTGAAGAATTTCTTTATTTTTTTAAACTTAACCTTTTGATCGAAGTCATATTTTTCAAAAAAAAATTATAAATCCTTAAATTTTGTATCGAAATGTCGTAATCAAAACTTATCTTTTTATTTTTGAGTTGTTGAAATATGCTTTTAAATTATCTGCCGTTACGAAAGGCCTATTAACTTGCGTGCTCAAAATCGTTTCGAAAAATTAATTTTTGAACTTAAAATTTCATGCAAATAAGATGCATTTCCTTAAAGTGAATAAAGACTAGAAAGAGAGCAAACATTTTCTTAAACATGCCTACAGCAGTTTCAAATCGAAAAATTTGCCTTCAGCTTAAACTGGATTATCAGTTTCAATATGTGTTGTGGCTGCGATAAAGCATTAAAGTACGTTGCACACACAGAGTCACGCGCCATAAACGCAAGAAAGCCAAACTCAAAGTAATCTAACGATCTAAGAAATGTATGCGACAGAGTGATGTAAATATAAGTAATTTTTTAAGTGATTTTTAATAAAAAAAATTTACATTTCAAAGTCAAGCCACTACAAATACAATTATCCCCCCACAGGAATTCTATCCAGCTGGCACTTACATCATACGCCAAGGCGCCAGTGGTGACACCTTCTTCCTCATTTCGCAAGGCAGCGTCAAGGTCACACAAAAGTTAACACCCACCTCCGAGGAGAAAGAGATACGCACACTAGAACGTGGTGATTACTTTGGTGAGCAGGCTCTCATCAATGAGGATAAACGTACGGCAAATATTATCGCCATGGCGCCCGGTGTTGAGTGTTTAACGCTGGATCGTGACTCCTTCACGCAGTTGATTGGCGATTTGTGCGAGTTGAAGGAAAAGAACTACGGCGATGAGAATCGTGTGCTGGCCATGAAGTATGCGGAGAAGACCAAAGAGATTTTCGGCGCCAATGTGAAGCAAGGTAAGTGATCCTATATTCAACTACAAATATTGAATTTTTAAAAGTGCTCTTCCCCAATTTTTTCGCTCCCCACTACCACAGAGTTCCCTGACATGAAGCTCACCGATTTGGAGGTTGTAGCCACACTCGGCATCGGCGGTTTCGGACGCGTGGAACTTGTGAAAGCCTATCGTGAGAACAGCGTTGATATATTTGCATTGAAGTGTCTTAAGAAGAAGCATATCGTCGATACCAAACAGGAGGAGCATGTCTTTAGCGAACGCACCATTATGCTTACCTGCGATTCACCCTTTATTTGTCGCCTCTATCGCACATTCCGTGATGAGAAGTATGTGTATATGTTGCTCGAAGCCTGTATGGGTGGCGAGATATGGACTATGTTGCGCGATCGTGGCTGCTTCGACGACAATGCTACACAGTTCATAATTGGCTGCGTCTTGCAAGCATTCGAGTATTTGCATGCGCATGGCATTATCTATAGAGATCTCAAGCCGGAAAATTTGATGCTGGACGAGAGGGGATATGTGAAGCTCGTAAGTGGAGAAGACTTAATCAAACTATTGTCTTAAGCTGTTTGCTTTCGAAGCTGCTTGAAATTTTAAAATAACTCTGCAAACATAGCTTGCAAAAGTATGTGATAAACGATAACTTTTACTTTAACCGCAGGTCGACTTCGGTTTTGCCAAATATATCGGCAATAGCAGCAAGACTTGGACTTTTTGCGGCACGCCAGAATATGTAGCACCGGAAATTATTTTGAACAAAGGTCACGATCGTGCTGTGGACTATTGGGCTTTGGGTATACTCATACATGAGCTGCTCAATGGCACGTAAGTTATGAGAGAGTTGAGTTTTTCCGGCTGTTTTAATTATAGTTTAAATTTTTATTTTGCAGTCCGCCCTTCACTGCTACAGATCCTATGAAAACCTACAATATAATTCTGAAGGGTATTGATATGATCGATTTCCCTAAGCATATGTCACGTTCGGCTGTGCAATTGATCAAGAAACTGTGTCGTGATGTGCCGGCAGAGCGTTTGGGCTATCAAAAGGGAGGCATACAAAATATTAAGAAGCATAAGTGAGTGCCATTACAACTGCAGCAATATGACTGCTATTTCCATTACCATTACAATTACCATATCATTACAACTACCATTACTTTTATCACGGTCATTGCTATCATCATTATTATTACTATTAACCCTGCTACAATTACCAATATCGCAACTGTACTACTATTACAGTTATCACTAGCGGCAGTGCGAATACCGTTATCATTTTCTTTACTATTTTCATTGCCACAGCCATTTTATACATACTAAGAAGTCAAAAAAGCCAATGTCATGGGTGCATTTTTTTAAATTAACCCTTTTAGGATTTCAGTATGATAAGTGCAAGTTCTAAGTGGCTATAATCTACCTTTGATTTTTGAGAATTGGTTTACTGACGCTCTTCGATATTTTTCTCATACAAAAATACTATCACGCTCCGTTATATGGAGAAAATGAGCAACATCATCAACAAAAAAAAATCTCAAAAATCAACCGTAGTTTATAGCCACTTAGAGCTTGCACTTTCTTACACTGAAATTGAGTGAACTACAAAACTGCTTACTCAAAGAATTCTTAAAAATGTTGTTCAAAAGTTGGAAAATTTGCTGAAAATTTGTCGAATTTTCCTAAATTTTTTAAAACTTTGAATTTAATTTTCATGCCATTTGATTGAGAATGAACTGTTTGCTTTAAAAATTAACGAAAAAAAATTATTATGAAAAACATCGCAAATATTAAAAAACAAACACTGTACGGAAACATATTCTGGTTAGTGTACGTATATTCATTAAGTAGTAGTAGTAGTAAAAATTTTCTAAATATTAAAGAAAGCTTTTTTTAGTTAAAATTAAAATTAATATAAGTTTTAAAAAGTTTTAATATAAGTTTTAAAAACTTTTGTATAAAAAAAATATCAAAAACAAAATTTAGGAAAAACTAGTTTTTGGGGAAAAATATGTTAAACCAACCAAATTAAAGATTTTTTGGAAAAAAAATTTTTTGATAAAGATTATTCCTTCGTGAAGAATTAGCTTTGGTAATAAAAATTAAAAAATAATATTTCGGGGAAAAGTCGCTTATTTAAGATTTAACATTTCAGGTGAAAAAAATTAAGATTTTTTAGAAGAAAAAAATTGTGTAGAAGAAATTATTTTTTTTTTAAGTAATATCTAGCAATTTAAAAAATTTGCAATATTAAAAAAAAAATTTGACCAAAATTTTTTTTTGTGAAAGTTATTTCTTTGAAAACACATACTTAGAAAAAAAGTCCATTTAAAGTGAAAATAAATTTTCTATATTATTTTCATTACTAACGCCATTTTGTACCAAGAAATCAAAGCCGCCATTGTCACGGGTGCAGTTTTTCATTAACCCTTTCAGTTGTTTTAATTTAAATTTTTTCGAAAAAAAATGTCAAAAAAATTTACGAAAACATAATTTAGGGAAAACTAGTTTTTAGGAAACAAATATGTTAAACCAAATTAATGATTTCTTGGAGAAAAAAATTTTTCTGATAAAAATTATTCTTTCGGCCAAAATTATTTTTTGGTAATAAGAATTAAAAATAATATTAAGGGCAAAATTTTTAGAGAAATAGTGGGGTTTTAAAATTAAACATTTTAGGAGGGAAAACTATGTGGACAAAAAACGAATTTTTTGAAAAGTAATATCTTACAAAATTACAATATTTAAACTTTTTTATTTCTTTGAAAGCCCGATATTTGGGGACAATCTTTTAAAAGAAAAAAAAATTTGGAGAAAACACTTGATAAGACAATTGATATTAATTAAAATTTTAGGAGAAACAATTTTTGTTACGTTTTTTTATCAGATTTTATTTTTTTATCTTCCATGAACCACAATTTACAATTTAATGCATGATACTTTTTAATATACATACATATGCTTACCCTCTAAGGATCAAAACCTCATTAATTCCTCAACGTTATTTTCATGTTCGCCAATACCATTACCATCGTCAAAGTCAATTCCATTACCATTTCCATAAGCCCATCTAAAAATCACCACCTCCTTTGCCATAAGTGAGCTTTCGCCTTCGAAATCACATTGATCTTATCATTACTATACCGTTGCCATTAACACTACCATTACCAATACTATTAACATTACCATCTCAAATCGAAAACTTAAAACGGCCACAATCACAAGTGAAATTTAAACACCTTTAACTCTCCCCTTTTATTTCCACTCTCTTTCACCAACTCAAAAATTAGATGGTTCCTTGGCTTTGATTGGGATGGTCTCGAACAGCAATTGCTCATACCGCCATTTGTGCGTCCCATTGCACATCCAACGGATACAATGTACTTCGATAAATTTCCATGTGATCCCGAAGAACCGCCAGATGAGTTCTCCGGCTGGGATGCGGACTTTTAAAAAAACCGCGCAAGCACCTTTACTTTGGTCAATATAGTGCCTTAAAACAGCTGAGCTAAAAAAATATTTTACATAAAATATTGCTCAAAATTTTCTAATCAAATATCAATTTATATATGTATTTATAAATATGGTGAAATTTCCTTAAAAGCATTTTTTTAAACTAAACATAAAAATGTAAAGCGTTGTTGAATGCATACACTTTTTAAATAAATTTTTTAATAATTTAGCAGTGGTGAAAATAGCACTTTGCTCACACAATTTGCATATACATACCTGTGTATGTACATATGTATGTACATAGATAGATGCAGTTTCATAAAGTATTTTTCAGATATTTTCCATATCTTTAGTCATGCAACTTATAAAAAAGAAAATAATAATTATAATATTATATTCTAAAATACTTCTACATATTAGCTTTAAGCACTTTTAGCACTTAAAAACAACTCTGCTCAAGTAGTTTTAATCAAAAATGCAATGAAATTGTGTGCCTTTGTCTGTTAAATTTCCGAAATTCATTTACTATGTAGAATAGCGTAAAATTTATTGCTAAATAAAAAGCAGATACAAAATCATAATGACGTTTCATCAAAGCTTGCATCACAGGAGGCACTGTTATATCGTTGGGCGTTAAATATTTTAGAGAATATCTATAAACTATATCGATGGCTGAGTGGAAGATCGGACTATCTCGGCAGCCAGATCTCAGAAAACTTTTCAAGAACGCCCAATTTCATATTTTCAATATATTTTAAGTTGAGATAGGGCATTTTTGAACGAAATTCTGAGACCGGGCGTTCTTCCCCTGCAGGGAAATCGCGAACTAGTGAATCAAGTTTCTAGTTCCGTACTAGATCTTTATCGCCAAAAACGAACCAGTCCGATAGTAAATAGATCCTCACCAGTTTAAAATCAGTGAAATGTGGTACTTTTTAAAAACTATTTCATTTCACTTTTTTCATAAGAAATCTATATCTAAGGCGACGAATTTATAACTAGTTCGGAACTATCGAAAAAGGGATGCAGCGGGGGCTTGTTTACTTTACATAGATGTGTGTTTAGCAGCTTTTTCGTTCAAATACGCTTCCATTCTGCACTTCCCAGATGCTTTTTCATAGTTTGGTAATACAAAAAAAAAATAGTTTACTTAATATTTTAAGATCTTGGGACCTTCGGGAATCTATTTAATAACAGCAAGCACATCTGCAAACTCGGCTACAGCCAAAGTTATGTAAACGTACATTTCTTATAATATTCAAACGAATTTAATTTCAAATTAAAAACACATTTCTTTAAAAATACTTTAAAATCGCGCACACGGAAGAACCGAAAAGATTGAAAAATCATGATACTTTTTTATTTCGTCCGTCGATTTTATAACTGGTTCGGAACTATAGAATTTAGGGCTAGTTCGAAACTATCGGAAAGGGATGCAGCGGGGGGCAATTGACACTTCCTTGGACATCGCCATGTTAAATCCGCCAGTTGTTTGCATGGAAAAGGACAGTTGTTTGCATGCAAGATTTTTCGGATTGCAGTGTCTTCAGGTTTTCGGCGTCAAGTTTTCGTTGCTTTGTCTGGAGCAATATAAATCTGGTTTATCGTCATTTGATCTAGGAACAGATCATTCATAAGTTTATAGACGCTGATGCCTAGCGCTACACATATACTACTTCCATGTCTCGGGCCACCGTATAGTAGGTAGTCTCGTGACTCTTCGACAGGCGCTTTAGCTTCCTTGTTCTTTTTTTACATGCTGAATCCCAATATATAGCCCACAACAAAGTACTTACTCTAGTATTAAATTGTAAAATCGTTTAATGGAACAAATAACTCCCTCTCTCATGCGCCTATTCAAAAGGTAATTTTACGAAGTAATCGCATAAATTGCTTTAGGACTTACACCTTTTTCAAACTTTGCCGACCAAAGTTACCAAAATTCAGCAGTTAAAAAACATGAAAACATATTTTTATACAGAAAATTATACTTTTCAATAATAATCCTTCACAGTTATCTCCACTTAATAACAAATGTACGTATTTGCATTTGATGCAAGACTATGCTGAACTTGCTCACCGAGTCCTTCTTCTTCGCTAAGAGTGGACTGTGCAAAGTCTTATAATATTCAGGTTTAGTTACGTTTGAGCTTTCGGGCTGGAATTTGAAGCGAATCATCTCACTCAAATTTAAATTACCATCCAATGTGGTTTCACGTATCTCTTCACCACTCAATTGATCGAAGAGCGGCCGCAAGTTGAAAGTCACCGGATTCGCATCATACTTGCCCATGAAATTCTCCAAGCGCACTAGACGCTCGTTTGCATTAAACGGTTCCAAAGTTAATAAATGCACAGTTTGCGGCAAATTGAATGAAGATATTTGTCGTACTTTTTTGTTTGTGGCCTTGGTTGCGTTGCTGAAAAACTTCCAGAAGGGCAAGTGAATTTGCAGCTGTTCGAGGCGTTCGTAACGCGATGGTGTACCCTCCGCATTACTCAAAATCAAATACACCTTTCCGCGTGCCACTACACCCTCACCATAAGCGGTTTCATTCAACGCCTCGCCAACACCGAAGGCATCATCGCGCAACAGGCGCCGATGCAACATGAGCTCAAGCGCGCCATCCTTCAAGCTGCTGCCGCCCTGCGCACGATCATTGAGTAAGGCAATGCGGTTCGATTCGCCCTCGATGGCTATGCGCGCAGTGATGGGATAATAATTACCCGAAACTGCCTCTGTCATATTGGGTTTAAAGTATTCACGCTGATTACGTTTACGCTTCAGCATTTCGCGACCATTCGAGTCGGTATAGAAGACCCCAGCGGACTTGATGTTGCTGGTGAAGCGTGTAATCACCTCTTTGCCGATGTTGTCGTTGATGGGTATGGGGCCTACAAGCCATTCAAACTCAACACGATTGACGCCTTCATATATACGAATCACCTGTGAGACCCAATCACTGAAGCGTTGATGTACCTCCTTCACTTGCGTGCCTTCGTAAATGCTAAAGGTGACCTGTCTGCCAATGAGCAACTCAGTGCCGTTGGGTCGAAAGATGTAGGCGCCTGAAGAGCGGTTTTTGAATTCGGCGTTGTTGCCAGCTGCGGCATTGTAATAGTAAAACTCCTGACGGATATTTTCGCTAACGCCGTTCATCTCAACTTTGGTGAGATGGCCGCTGGAATCGAGGGTCAATTTAACATGCTGTAGAGTGGAAGTGAAGTAATACAGATAGAATTAAGCGCGGCTAAAGTAAATTTTGCAAATTTTAAAATGTAGGACACGGCTTACCGAATTCTTCACAATGATCTCGCCTCTGGACTCAGAGCCGATGGCAATGGATTTTAATTCATTTTCCTCTGCACTTTTTTTGTGCATTTCGTGAGTTTCGACTTTAAGCTCCTCCACACTGCGTGGATTAGCTCTCTTTTTAATGTAGTAGCTACGCAACTTTTCCACATATGCCAAGAAGACAAGCTCGTGTGACGCAATCTTTGGACGAAAACTCAAGCGCTGCACCTCCGCAGGCACAGGCAGCAAATCGGAAGGGAGAAGGCGACCTTAAAGCAATTAAAAATTGGTTTAAGCTTATTTTATGCGCAAATAAATCCTCAGCCGACTTCTTACCCGTCTCATCGGTCACAATATAAGCCTCATTATTCACTGGTACACGCACATATTCGTAGGACGGACGTCCCAGTGGATTAAATAATGTAACAGCCAATTGATCCGCGCCATTTTTGGTGAATTCACAGACGCTAATATTCAACTGTAGACAGCTGACAAACTCGCCATTTGTGAGATTAGTTAATTTCTGTAGAGCAGCACGCGCATTCGCTTGCGCAGACTCAATGGCGGCAGCCAATAGCCGATCATAATCTGCGGCGACGTGTTGTTTTTCGGTGCCAGTGATGGCATCATGATGCTGCATAACACCCATGGCATGCCGAAGGGCGTCCAAATTGCTATTCACATCGTTGCCGGTAAGATTCGCAAAAGTGGTGAGCTGCTTGGTGACCTGCAGGAAGTGATTGCCATCGCGTTCGAAACGCTTTTGCGTGGGGCGAGAGCTATAGTAGCCCGTCCAGTAAGTGTGCCAATCAGTGGAGTAAGGGAAGAAGTCTTGTGTCTTGCTGGGCCAGGCGAGTGGCGCCTGGTGTATGGCTTTGAGGTAACAAGCCGGCGTCGAGTAAAACAAATTCACTTTGGAGCCAAGCGGTTGACGTTCGTTGACATACCTGGTGAGAGTAGATGGAAAATTAAGCTTAACTCAACAGCGCACTGAAGGATGGGAGGACTGACTCACTTGATCAACTTATCCATGTTCTTGAAATTCATTGCAGCAATCTGGTAGTTAAAGTCATCGCCCATGGGTATGAGCACATGTGTGGAACGATAGTGAGTTGTGACTTCTTGAATGTACTTAATAAAAGTGTCAACCTACAAGTTTTGATAATTTGTCTTTAGTAAACATATGATATGAAATCTTCCAGGTGATTAACTATTTCCCACAACAACACTTACCCGCTCTTTCACATTATTATCGTAACTCACGCCATCAATGATCGGTGCATCAGAGCACAGTGCATCGAAACAGAAACCAGGCGGCGCAGAATAATGCCGATATAACAAACCTGTAAAGAGTTCCGCGCTCTGGCCCAAAACTTCGCTTGCTTTCCATATCACCTCTGCTGTTAAATTTGTAAGTCGCTCCGTCTTCTCAATCCAATCCATGCGGGCAAAAAATTGTCCATCGAAGCCCATTTGCGCAAAGAGCGAAGCCATTTCACGCGAATGTCCGAAAGGATCGATTTGCCAGCCTACGTGAGGACGGCCGCAGGCGCCAAAAGTTTGCTGGAGCGCTCTTTGATGATAATTAAGCCAAAAAAAAAACAAAAACGATTTAGTCACTAGCCAAAAATTACTCAACAAATCTGGTTACTCGAGCAACTCTTACTTTAAACCAATTGTAAACTGATCAATCACCGATTGATAATGTACAGCCGCTTCGTCGTTCATAGACCAAGCGCCGCCAGCAAATTCTAAGCGTCCGCCCTTGACTAAAGTCTTCACTTGTGATTTTACCTCAGCCGTCTGTTCGTTGTACCATTTGAAGAAGAATGCCGACTCGACGAAAATGAAACTGAGGGAAATGCCAATAAATGTTTCGTACATTTTTGTATTTTCCTTAACGACTTGATTTACCGGCGTTTAGCGTCCCTTAGCAGTTCCCTAATCACATTATCCAGTATGTACTGTACACCGGCATGTTGAATGTCATTGCGCGCACCATAGTAATACTGATCGACAGTCTTTAGCCAGCCCACATCGTCGTGAGAGTGAGGTACCAAATGCACATTGATCATGTTCGCTTTGCCCGCGGGACAGTTCTATAATTGGATATGGATTAACATTTGGAGTCAGTTGGTGAAATGTTATTTTAACAAGTGGAATTTTCTACAAATATTATAAAAGTGAAAGTTAGCGATGTGTTTGTGTAGGATATCTGTGAATAGCCTTGCCAACTTTTGCGAATGTTAAAATCAACGAATCAATAAGTTAAATAAAATATTACAACAGTGTGAAAGGTAAACAAAAGTAGTTCCAAAACGATTTATTTTAAAAATATTTTTGAAGAGAACTCAATATGATGAGGGTTGCCACCACTTTAAAACTTCAAGTTCAGTAAATGAAAGACTACAATACTGTTGTCTTTTAAAAATATCAATCGGGTCAGGACCAAGGGAAACATGCTGAGCAAAGAGTTTCTCCCCACATAAGAAATTCCGTGAATCAATTGAATTTTTTCTGTTTTTATTACAAGCTTTTATTAATCAAGTCTTGCAGCCATTGAAATTTTAAACTTAGCTCAAAACCTGACGACAATGCATGTGAAAATGTACCCCATGTGAGATGAATTTACCCGATAGGTGGCTTAGGAGTCAAGATATTTGGAAAACCGGTATTTATGGTCCGATTTGTTTCATATTTAGAACGTAACGTACTTAAGTGGAAAGAATTAACTCGAAAAAAATGTATCCATTAGGTGGTGCGGGAGAAACTTACGAAAAACTTGATTAAAATTATTTTTTGTTTTCTACAAAAAAATACACTTTGAAGAGACTTTAATTAAAAAAAATATATAAATTTTTAGAAAATAGATACATTTTTTGAAACACATATTTTCGGAAAATTGAGCAATTTTTAGAAAAAAGTTTTGGGAAACAATTTGTTTTGAGGAACAAAAAAATGTTTGTAATAGGTATTTCCTAAAAAATTTATTTCACCAAAAATAAATTTTTGTTATAATTTTTTATTATAAAAAATGTTAACAGAAAAAACTGTGACGTAATTGAATTATAAAAAAGTCATTTCTTCCTTATAATATTTTAGAAAAAATTATATGTTCTCTCCTAAAAAAAAGGAAAAAGTTCCGAATTCGTCGTCTATATTTTTATACCCGAGCGCACTTGTGCACAAGGGTATTTTAGCTTTGTTCACATAACGGTTGTTTGTAACAGGCAAAACGAATCGAGATAGATATAGACAAATGCATACATAAATGATCAGAATGAAAAGAGAAATCGATTAAGCGGTGACTGTCTGTCCGTTCGTCCGTCCGTCCGTCCGTCTGTGCACACGATAACTCGAGTAACAATTGAGATATGTATCTTAACGAAACTTGTTACATGCACTTCTTTTGGGCGTAGGACGGATGGTATTGAAAATGGGCGAAATCGGACAGTAACCACGCCTACCTCCCATATAACGGTAATTTTCAGAAATACGAAAACTGTGATATTTTAGTAACTACTGAAGATAGTTCGCTCAAAATTTTTGGAAAATGGGCGTAGCCACGCCCACTTATAGTTACATGTACCCAATGGCCGAAATTTTTTAAAATCGGAAAATAACCACGCCCACATGTCATATAAAGGTAATTTAGGAAATACGAAATCCTCGATAAATCAGTAAATATTAAAGCTAATTTATTCAAAATTGATGGTTGCAACAATTCTTTACCAGGAAATACGTTTATGGTAAAATTTTGGAAAATGGGCATGGCACCGCCGACTTATGATCACATATATGTATCTCGTTAACCGTTCTAGCAATTTGTACCAAACTCGGTATGGTTATTGTGCTTGCCACATAAAAGCAAACCGTTGAAAATTGTTGAAATCGGACTAAACTTACAGCCGCTTTTCATATAATGGTAAATTTCAGAAATGCTTTAAATTTCAATATTACGAAATTTAAGGATGCTAGTTTACTTAAAATTTATACACCCGCTTATCATGTAGCGGTAGCTTTCGGAAAGGTGGAAAACATATATTTAACACTTGCGGCGGGTATTTGATGTTCGGCTCCGCCCGAACTTAGACTTTCTTACTTGTCAATTTTAAACTTATAGTCCATAAAGGGTTAGCGTGTATTATTTGATTTGTTATTGATTCCTCTGAAAGATTAAAATCTTGATGGACACATCGCTCCAAATATGCATCACGTTCTTTTTTTAATGCATTTCATTTAAACTTTCGATGTCAAAGTTCATATATCATAGATTTACCCAGCTACTTTATCAATACAGTAGTTGCCTTTAACGCGATTCATTATTTGTTTGTAGTTTGTTTGTCAATCACAAATCAAAATTCGAAAAAAGCGGTCTAGTCACTCACAGCAGGTGTTCTTCAGTACTAATCTTTGAGTACCCCACTTGCACTAATTCCTCAAAAATACAAATGAAATTTATGATCGCTAATTTAATTGACTGCCCGTCATCGATAACATTTTTAAACACATAATAAATCAAGGAATTGACAGAAAGTTATAAAATAATGGGTTTGTTCCACAAGCTATTGGAAGTCACTTCGAGTTACACATACGTGTTCCACAAGTAAGTTTTACAGTTTATTTGATATACGCTGACAGTTTGAGCTTTGCTCGAATTTTTCTACAAGTAGCTTGTGGAACAAACCTATTATAGATATTGTTTTAGATAAAGGTTGTGGTACGGGCAATCTTTTGGCTCACGGAAGCAAATAAATAATCACAAGTAAATTTTTTAAGCAACGCAAATATTTCCAAGGTTTAATGTATTTAGTTCACGGCTAAAGCCAGGTCCTATTTGAAGCGTGTTTGAAGCGTTCTTCCCTCATCCGCTTTTCCCTTATCTAAAGGAAAGGTTCAGGCATGCCACTCGCTACCTGTGAGCTTATTCTAAGGGATTTGTTTCTTAAGCAGGCAAAACTCACTTGGTCAGAATGTAACGTGAAATGGTCAAAGTGTATCCTCATGCCGAATTGACTTATGTATCTACAGCAGTGGCCCTACTAATAGTCCATATTGCCATCGGAATTCACGCGGAGAGGTTGGAAGTTCCCCACCATATTGACTTCAGCAGAGACTGCAGAAATGAAGAAGAGCGCCAGAAACCACCTGTTATGGGAATGTCCTGCAATCTCTGTATAGATTCTGAATTTCTCGACGACTTGCACCACATATCTAAAGTAGAAATACGGCAACTATTAGGATAGGATTCGCGGATTCCGAGTGGACAGTTTATTGTCTCTGCTTCGGATTCATCAAAACATGCTCCGGCCTTAGCCAACTCATCAGCCCTCTCATTTTCGTGTGCGTTCCTATGGCCGGGAACCCAGATGGGAGAGATGTACACTTGTGGCCAGCTAATTAATTTTGACTAGTTTTTGGCGGCTATTTTTTCTTTTGCTTATTTAACGTTAACATTTTTTTTTTTATAAAAACCTAGCACTTTACCTAACCAGCGCCACATAAATCAACATTTCAACCTTCGTACAAAAATTATGAAAATTCAGCAAACTTTAATATTTTCACCCGAAAATTTTAAAATTTTTGTTCAGAGATGTGTACTTTTTCTTTCATATAAAATATGCTCGACAATTTCATTTGTATGGGAGAAAATGCCTAGCACCATCAGCAAAATAAATTATTAAAAATCAATGCGATTTTAAAATTTGCACTATAACCTACTAAAGCGTAATGAGCTGCAAAACTGCATACCCAAAATTTTTCTAAAAATTCTAAATAAAAATTTTAAAATTTTTGGGTGCAAATGTTAAAGAATGTTGAATTTTCATAGTTTTTGTACGAAGTTTGAAATGTGGATTTATGCGGTGGAGGTTAGGTGAAGTGCTAAACTTGTATAAAAAAATATATATACGTCAAATAAACAAAAGAAACAATAGCCAAAACTAGTCAAATTATCACTTGACTTAATCAGCTGACCACAAGGGTATATTAGCTCGGCCGTCGAGCTGAATGCCCATTTTCAATCTCCGACTGTTTTAGATTTGGTTACCGGTGAGTCAAGTGCCAGAAGTGCTGCTTGGCTATCTGAGAAAATGTATGCTTTTTGTACTCCTACGCAGTTCCTCTGTAAAGCTTTACAGGCCCTTTCGATTCCCAGTACTTCCACTTGGAAGATGCCAACAAAGTCAGGTAGTCAGAACGAGAAAGAGGCAAAACTCTGTAGTCCATTTGGAACACGTCAGCATTCGATTTCAGTGGCATTCTCCTCGACAATCCTGAGGAGGAAATTTCACCTGAAAATTTTTCCTGAAATCTGTCGTAGGAGTTATATTATTTGATCGTTTCTTTGATTCGATAAGCTTATCAAGAATACAACTATGGCCGTGCCGCAGCGCCCTCTAGTAGCCTGACTCTTTGAGTCTGACCGCCGAGAACGCAGCAGTTTCGCGGATGTTGAGTTCAATGGGCAGTTTATGCAGAACCACATTAAGCGCATCAGATGAACACGACTTAATTGCTGCTGTAGCACCTGCACAAGCTGCTATCTGGTGTACTGCTTAATTTCCTGACGTGTTATTGTTTGTCTAGTGCTGGCCACGAAACTAATGACGCGTATGTTGGTAGGTATTGGTCGTATGACAGCCCTGTACATCCAGAGGGCTTTAATTCCCAAATCCTACTGAATATTCTATTGCATGTATAATAAGCTGTGTAGGCTCTCTCTACGCGCCTCTCTTTATTTGTTTTCCAGCTCAGTTTGGTCTCTGTTTGTTACAACATCCAAGGGGAAGGCAGTTTCACTATACGCGTGGTTTCACAATGGGCCCAAAAATGTCGGCCTAGTTTTGCTGGTGTGGTCACCGGCAGCCACTTCAACCTAGCCAACCTAGCCAAGCCTAAACGATAGGTACGCTGAACTCATGGGCGAGTGCAGAAGTGTATCGTGATGGCAGCCTGGTTATTTGATTATGTGACAATATTTCTTATTAAGTTTGCAACAACAAAATATACTGATATGATCATATGAATTCTCTCCAAGCACTGAGCGTCAACTTTTGATCTTTTTTCAATAATAATTTTGTAGACTATCATAGTTAGTTTAGCATTGATTTTTTTACAACAGTGTTATCCTTACTTGGGTAATCACAACATTCAACTGACTGATATATGATTTTTTTCCTTATAGTTCTACCAAAATTAACCAGTTGATGTGAAACGAAGAGGTGTTCGTTCACATTATTCAATAAAACCTGCGCTGAGCTATTCACTCATAGAAGCAGTTTTCTTTTCTTTCACTTAATCGAAAAACAGAAATAGTACTAAAAAAAAAAAGAAAATTGATGTCATCAACCCACCGCATAGCCACATGCCGCTTGGACTTGCTGTTCTCGCAACACAGCAAGTAGCACAAAAATTGTGGCTAAACCACAAAGTAACTGCATTTCGCTTGTACAAGTACTCGCCGCAACTTTGCAATATGTATATTTCAACAATCTATTTACACACTCTATGCACAAAAGAAATTTTCTTGCAGGTATGTATTTTTTCGCAAAACCACACAGAACTGTTTCGTTCGCACCAAACCACTCAGAACTACTGTTGCGCTGCAGCTGAAAGCCAATGCTCTTTATGTAAATACAAAGTATCGCGGCTTTATAGAATTAAAATCAAGTTGTTATGCATATTGCAAAAGAAAACAGAAAAAATCAAAATAGCTGTAGAAAAAAACAATTTATTGATAAGAAATTAATGAGCTACTTTTTTTGAGCACATTGATGAGCGACTCAGTTGCGCTTAGTAAAAAGAAAGGCAATTGAGTGTGTAAAATTTGAGTATAATTTTTAGTTTTAAATTCCAAATCATGATATTTTGTCGATTTTTACTGATAACATCAGGCATAGATTTAATGGATTACTCTATCATTCATTGAATTTTTCTAGAGTATCTGCAAAATATTTATTTATTTACTTCTTATCGATTTTGATTTAAATAACATCTGTCGACAAATAATATTAATTTTTTACGCGCCTTCAACGTTTAACTTTTTAATTTATAGTCTTATGTCATTCGCTTTGCAAGTTTATTTTTGCTGCAATAAATTTTGTAAAATCTCTGCAATAAATCTAATGTTACTTGAGCTTAAGTGATTTTTTCGTTCATGTTTTGTGTTGTACAAAAATAAAACTAAATAATAAAACAAAACTAAAGTAAAAAGATATCTATGGTTTTTTTTCTTAAATCAGAAGGAAATTTTCTTAACTGCATAAAAATAGAATTCGAGATCAATTTCCGATCTATGTACATATTTTGAGAAAAATCATTATTCTTTCAAGCATAGAAATAAATTGTTGGTGATTTTTTTAATTTTTTTCATATGTAAGTATGTATGCATGTTTTCAAGAACGTTTTCAGAACTCTTCGAGATTTATCGGTACAGTTGCTTTTTAAATAAATAAAAAAAAATACACCCTGAGTCATAATAATAGGCGCACCACACATTGACAAGTTTTACCAATATACTTTTTTTGTTATTCATTGACATTCCATTCCATTGCAGCTGTGTGTGATTGTCGGTCCTGAGTTAGTCCTGCATGAATTCGCGACCAATGCATTTGACGTTTTTTGCTGAGGGGCTGATCGCCCCGCTAATTGCCAGGATTTGTAAATTGCGACTACATTGGCCAATGTTTCATCTTTCGATCGGCGGTTTCCAAACACTGAAAATTTCGAACTATCCTCGAAGCAATCGAAGAATAACCGAAAAAGAAATGTATGTGCATATGCGCCAAATCTTCTCATTTTGTATTTTTGATCAAGAGATTAATTTTGAATCTGAGAACCATTACAAATGCATAGTGCATCTCAAAATCCCTTATTTCGCAAATCTATATTTTTCGACAAATTTCTGCCAACTTAAAAAGTTTCTTTGGGCAGAGACGATGCGTGTTCTAATTGATACAAAAATACCTTTGGAAAATAAGTAGATTTCTTAAAAGGATGTTGAATATGCAGTTTTTTGTCTCAGTCAATTTTAGTATAATAAATTACAAGTTTGAAGTAGCTAGGATTTAGCGTTGATTTTTAGATATATTTTTTTTTTGGTGAAGGTGTTGCTCGTTTTCTACCATATAAAAATGAGTCGAAGATAGTACTTTGCAAGAAAGAAAATAAAAAATTAAGCTTATTTTTTGTTCAAAAGATAACAGAAAGTTTAATATAATTCAAAATTTTACAATTACCTCCCATTGTCAAAGCAGGCTTTTCAACCTCCACAAAATTGTTTACATGCGGTGTTCCGTTAAGTAGGGCTGAGTAGTTGGGGATTGAAATTAGATTTTTTTTTTCGAATTTCGAACATTACCCAACCATTCGATTATTCGATTCGAAATTTGGTGTAGCATCAATTAATTTATTATCATAATGTATATTAAAACTAATTTTTAACCGACTTCCAAAAAAGGTGGAGGTTATTAGTTCGTCGGAATATATTTTTTTTTTTTTTTGTTTTTAATGTATGTTACCGCATAACTTTGGACCACGTCAACCGATTTCGATAATTCTTGCATCGGAAAGGTAGTGTCTCAGAGGTGGTCCCATACTAATCTGGTTAAGATCCGATCTGCGGATCATGATATATATATATATATATTTTTTATATGAGAGTTGAAGTCGGTTTTTTTTTTGCTAAAAATTACTTGTTTGTGCTTTAATTTATATATCTGGCTTTACGACAACAAAAGAAATTTGCACACACCTCACGTTAAATAATTACACGTATGCGTATATTTAAGTCTTACATTTAGGGCCAGTTTACCAACCTAACTTAAGTTCTAGTAGGGAAAAATCTTAGCTAGGATTAGTTTAAAATTTTGCTCAAATTTGAATTTCACAATGCATACTTATTAAGTATGGAAAATATTTTATTCAGAATTGTGGTAGCACCGCAGCGAAATGCTTTGTTTATATACCTTGGCATCTACCCAGCCATAAATCATTTCTTTTAGCATGCTTTATAATGGGATTTATCCGGTATTTCTCCGACTAAGGGCCGTTTTCTCAAGTAACCTGTAACTTTAAATCTCCCTTTATATTTAAAGGTTGCATTAAAATTTATGATTGTGTCTAAAGTTAAGCATTTTATTATCGGTTTTAAATTGGCTTACAACCAGGAAACATACATACGTCAAAAACCGATAATAGAAATGCTTAACTTTAGACATAGCTTTATTTTTAATCCTACATTTAAATATAAAATGGAGCTTTAAAGTTAAAGGTTAATTAAGAAAGCGGCCATAAATCTAGTAAAACTGTAAAAAAAAAAATCGCTCAAAGCGAGAGAGTAAACTGACAAGTACTAGCTAAACGGCCGGTATTTTTTCCTTCCAAAAATTTCAGTTCACATTTGATATCAGTAATTAAAACGGAATACCACATTTGATCGATTTTTATAATGTAGATATGGTGTCAGGTGTTAGTTGAGGAAGTTTTTGATCTCATGAAAACCGAGCATTAGATACAGTTTTATAAATATTATAAAGCATTTGAAATCTTATTTATTTTTTACTAAGTTATTTGTATAACTAACTGGGATGTGTAACTATTTAAATAAATAAATGCGTACATTTCGATTGTTCCATTTTCTTGTATATTTTTAATTCATTCGATGCGGCGAAAATATCGATTTTGTAGTCAGAAAGAAGTTGCAGAGTTGCTTTTTTGCAAATAAGGGCGAAATTCAATATTTGTCTGGAAAAATTCGATTTTACCTGAATGTTCACAGACCTGAGCTAAATCTTAAAAAAGAAAAGGTTTTTTTAACTGTGGTCGCCTTGCAGGCCTCTGCAGGCAATTACAAGGCCTCTGAGTATATTTCTTCCATTAAAAAACTTCTCATAAAATCATTTTCGGTTCGGAGGCGACGTTGTCTATTTTTTTTTTGTTATAACATCAAGACGTACTCCAAAAATGGGTGGCTAAATTTAAAAAAAAAAGTGTGCGCGAAACATTTATTCTTCAATCGTAAATCCCAATCATTTCTTAACTTTCTCGTAGTAAATATTTTTTTATATACATATTAAGTAAATAAATGAGTAAATATTGCTTTTTCTCTGCACGTGAATAAATAGAATAGTATGTCGTAATGTATGTTGTACGACACAGGTGCCAAAGCTTAATGAATCCCAACTGCATTTAATAAACCTCGAGAAGTTTTGCTGTTTGTGTTTGTAAGTGTTTGTTGTGTTCACAAAGTTCCCAAACTTTTTTTTAATTAAATTTCGCAGGCTTTTAGTTAGAAAATTTAAGAGACAAAATGGAAGTTCTGTACTTCTTTTGAAAACTTTTTGTTTTCTTTGAAAAGAGGCTGAGGTAAGAATTTGTCTTGAACCCATTTTTCCTAGGCTCAGGTTCAGTATACTTACTTATCTTTATATTTTTAATACTCTTGCGAAACTCGGAATTTTAATGCTCTCACCCCCTAGAATTGTTCTATATCGAAAAAAATACATATTTAGATGTCGCTCAAAGCGCTCAAAGTTTTCCATGTATTTTATATGGGGCAAAAAAAACAACTTTTCGTATCGAATTTTTGGAAATAAATATTTTTTTGATCAGAATACGCTGGTCATCATGCAGGTTATAGTCAACCTAAAATAAGTACCAAAAACCTTCTATTAATTGGCACACTACAAGTGAACTTATTAATAACCGGTTTATAGGTAGCTGAAAACAAACAGACTTTTCTTGCGGCATCAGCATGTAAAAGTAGTCAGTTGAAAGCATCGTAAATTAGTCGAGGCTTAGTCTAGTTGGAAAATAGTGAATTTATAGTGCGTCTATAGTTAGTTGAGTTCCCCACAGGGTATCTATTTAGTTAGCATGGTATTAAAACCTCTAAAGAGATGCTATTAAAACACATGCATACCGTTGCCTGAAATGCAAAAAGACGTAAAAAATATCGTCACTGAAATGTGCAAATATATATATATATATTTTTTTTTTTTTGCATAAAACGATGTGGGGAGCTGTCATTCAATGAAATTCATAATATCAATAAAAAAGTGAATTTTGAATTTTTTATTAGTTATGACTTTTTGAATTTCATCGACCATATCGCGAAAATTCAGCAAATTTTCAACTTTTGAATCAGATTTTTTAGAATTTTTTTAAGATTTGTAGTCCAATCACTTTTACTGTAATACGAAGTACTGTTGATTTTTGGCTTTTTCTCCGCAGTCTCTTCCATACAAAAAAAAAAACATTTCGAAAATACTTTGTATGGAAAAAATGCAAAACACCTTCAATGCGAAAAATTCTCAAAAATCAATGCGATTTTTGACTAACTCCGAACTTGCATTTTTTATACTAGAATTTAATGCGCTACAGATCTGCATACTCAAGAAAATTCTAGAAAATCCGATAAAAAAATTTAATATTTGCATAAAAATTTATAGAATTTTCGCGGGTTTCACACACAGTTTAGAAACTATATTTTTATGTTTTTTGTTGTGGAGTGAACCCTATTTTTATAAAAAATTTACGCAAAAATATTAGAGCAGAAATTGGTGCATATATTGGACAAAATCCGCTGTG